TTTTTTAATTAAACTTAAAAAATTTAAGTTTTATATTGAGCCAAAAAGCGTTCAGAGACTTTTGGCGGGGGTCTGTAGTTGATATTAAAAGAAATACAAATGTGATTGGTTACTTTTAAAAGGCTATAATTCATCAATTACAAATGCTAAAATTATAATCTTATAATCTAAATCTTAAAGAATATTCTAACAAAATTTTAAGCTGTAAGAATAATATATTTATGACATATTTTATCCTAACTATAAGGTTACCTCTTAAGCTTCTAATATCTTTAAAGGAGTATCAGTAACCTGTCTAAAGTATATCTTTATATAGTTACTACTTAGATTTAGATATCTGATACTTATTGAGTATCATTAATTATTAAATAAAAGAATCATAGCAATAGAGCTTTTTACATAACTATTTTTATTGTAATCTTTATCAAAAACTATAATTTTTATTCATTATTAGGTAGGTTTAGTAACAAATAACTTTATAAGACTTATACCTAAAAAATTATTATTTTCATGTAAAATCATAAAGGTGGTGACTATTATACCTATATCATCAAATTTATCTGAAAATTAAATCTAACTTTTCTTTTAGTAATAGTTTAATTTGATTGATATTGCAATGTATAATGCAATTATTATTATAGATATCTAAAATTAGTATTTAAATTTACTAATTATTAATTAATCACTTTCTTATGAGATAAAGGCTTCTCTATAAATATTTTAGCAAAATTTAATATCAAGTTAATAATAATATTAATTTTGTATAATTTAATAATCTACTTTAAAATTTTTATATAGTAAATTTAAGTATAGAAAAATTTAAACAGGCTAGTTATCACAAAATTAATATTAAATTCGGATTTTTTTTAGTATAATGATTTTAATAAGCTAAACTTTGTTTAAATTAGACCAGTTGATCAAAAATATTATATAGTAAAAATTAGCAAATTACTATATTAACTTTTAATATAACAAATTTTAATATAATAAATTTCAAAATATATTATGTATAGATTTTTCTATATTAAAAAATCTGCTATATTGAATATATTAATTAAAAATTATGATTTTTGAAAAAATTTTGTAAATATAATATATATAAAATAACTTTTTTTAATAAATTTATTTATAATGAATTTTTTTTAATATAATAAAGATTTTGAAAATAAATGTTTCTATAAGAAAAAATGAATCCTAAAGAGAGAATAGAAAAGAATATTAGTAAATATTTTTAAAAAAGTTTATCCATACCAAGAAGAAGAGAATCAATTTACTAGTTAATTTTTAAAGTTTAAAGAAGACTACCTCTATATATTTATTAAATATAGAATTCCTAGAATCTTATTAAGATCATTGTTAGTTTTTTATTATTACTTATAATTAGAAAAATAAGAAAACTTAAAGAAAATATTTGATATTTAAATATTTGTAATAGAAGAAAAAAAGTAAAAATACATAAAGATATTTAAACATTAAAAATAAGTTAGCAATTCTCATTATTTATTTTTTTCCATTTTGATTCTTTATATTTCTATAGATTAAATTTATTAAAAATATGATAAAATAATAAATTTACTAATTCTAGCAAAAAACTTATATTTATACCTTTTTACAATATTCTAAAAAAAATAAAAAAATGCTTTTTTAACTTATTATCACATGATTATTAAAACTATTTGATTAGTCTAATTGGATAACATTATTATTATAATGAATTATTTATATATATACTGAACAATTCATTATAGTAATAATAATTTTCTTATAATAAAGATCTAATTGAATTATTAAACTGAAAAGAAACAAAATTTAGTATCAATTTTATAAAAGTTAGCCTGTTTAAAAATTTTTTACATTCAAATTTTACTATATAAGATTAAATTATATAAATTAGTATTATTAACTTAATACTATATTTTTCCAGAATATACTTTAAGATTTAGACTTTAAAACAAGTATAAAATCATGATTTTAACATTTGTAAATAATAAGTTATAGCCTTTCAAAAGTAATTAATTATACTTAAATTTCTTTTAGTATTCACTATATTATTATGTTCTTCTTATTTAGATTATAATATTCTGGTATATTATAGTTTATTGATTAATATATATTAGAACATTATAGTCTAATAATTAATATATTCTAAAATATTTCGTCTTGATAAGTATTATAGAGACATATAAGATAATAAAAGTTATTTTTGGCCTCGCAATGCTAGGCACTTAGTTTCAGAAACAATATTCAAAATGGTCCTGATACCATGCAATTGATTTAGTCCATGATAAAAAGGAAAAGCGTTTTTGTATTTGCATCTAGAATAATATTCTACTCAATTTAGTAAAACGGTTACGACACGTGATCATTAATAATTTTCCAGACATGTGAATGTGAGAACAAAGTGACCGCAGTACGTCTATTTTAGCACAATATGATTTCTTTCCTTCTTTAATTAAGATGTTCAAAATGGCGATATACAGTTGAACCTCTCTATAACAAATCTTCATTTTTAGAGGTCACGATTCGTTGTAATGAGAAAATTCGGTAACGTTTTACCGAATTTTAAAAATTTATTCACTATATAGTAATACCAAATATCATATCCAAATTCAGTATGATAATAAAATAATCAAAAACTGCAGCTGAAACTGATAATCCAGTTTGAAACTGGTTTACTAAACATCCCTAAATATTTTTATTATATATTTGGAAGTTCAATTTTTATTGGTTATAAATTTAGCGTAACTTTATAATTTTGCAAAAAAAAAAAATTAATCTTTTTCACCATAACCATCGAATATATTTTATTCTTTAGCCTTATTCGCATTTCCCAAATATGAATTCAATGTAACTTGTTGTTTAAAATAGAATTCTTCTCGTTCTACTGCTTTTCGTAATTTTTTTATTACCTGAATTTGTTCCTTTAAAAAATCAATTTTATCAGATTTTTGTTTTGTATATATGATTATTTGGTTAAGTGCTACTAGTGTTTCATAATTACTGATAATAGGAATTTCCAGTTCTTCATTATTTGGTTCTACTTCTGGTTCTTTCATTAATTTTATAATTTCCTCATCAGTTATCATCTGATGAATTGTTTCTTTTTTTTTAGACCGCAAATATTCTTCAGTAGAAATTGGATTTTCGTATATATTAGGAGTTAATCGATCAATAAAATTTTGTATTCTATTGATTTCATCATATTCAT